AATATCTTTGGTTAGTGAAAAATAAAAGTAAACTGGTTTTAAATATTACACTGCACGCTTACTGCCTGATAGATCCATATAAAGTAGATTGAGCTTCAGCATGATTTTTGCTGACAAAGTCTTATAATGTGCATTAACAATGACATCATCACAGTATCGACCTTTCTCTTTATGTAACTCGGTTCCCGCTGTTGCACCTTCATATGGACGCTTAGTGTTTCCTGCTGCTCAGCGTGCTCTTCCTTATCTCTTCTACCGTTCTCCGAAATCTTTTCAATTCAAAACTGCATAGGCATGGTAAAGCTACCATTATCATCTGTCTCACTGCAAAAATTGCACTACAGTAGCAAAGAGCGATCAATTTAGTGTAACTAGATGAATTTTTATGGACGTGATGCTGATGGCTATTTAAGGTACTTTGCTTGATCGCCAGGTTGTCCTGTGCTCTCTAAATTTGAGTGTTTATGGTAAAGCACTCTTTAACATTGTAACATGTTCAAAATGACTAATTCACAGAATGAGTAGAATACAGATATAATGAAATCTGTTTTGTCATTGATTTAAATGTTCAGGTTTTTGTTTGTTTGTTTGTTTGTTTGTTTGTTTGTGTTGACAAATGACAGATTTGCATTTAATTCATTTGACAGAAAATGGTTGCTTGAAATGTAAGTACTTCAACTGCTGGTCACTCCTCTTAGCATCCTCTGTCACCTGGTTTTGAAATGCATTGCCTTCTTAAATTAATGTATATTACGATCTAAAAACATTAATTAAATTATCACCTTATGAAATAAGGTGGCTTGTATCAACTGCATCTGGTGGTTGAAAATTCATCACAACCTAAATTAAGTTTGATCAAGAACATGAGCAGCAGCTCATGTCAGGAGCTCTTCGTGTCATTGCCAATGTAATGCAGTTGTAAAAAGACAAGCCCTTCATTTTGCAGAACCATTTCTCTGTGTCCTTCAGAGGGGTGCTTAAAAATGAAACCTAACCGAAGTTTGAATGTTGTAACTAGGTTTCACAGTGAGCTGAAACCTTGGCTGATTGTGACCCACACTCGTTTTCACACCTTGGCTTGTGTGATTAAGTAGAGGATCAATAGGGGGTCCATGACCCTCTTGGGGACACTCCCATAGGGCTTAAAATCTGGGACTCTCCACCAGTTGCTCTTAGAACTGAAGAAGCTTCTCAGGTGAGAAGTGAAACGTCTTCAAGAAACCTAAAGAAGTCCAGACGCTCCTTAGACTACGATGACCTGGATGACTGAGAACCTTCACAGACACGTTGTAGCATTTCATTTTCATCTAAGGTTCTCGCCATAATCATCACTCTGCATTAATTTGACTGAATATGTTACTAAAGCAGATTAAATCTGTATACTAGTTTTTCCATTGTTTCCCTATATATTAGGTTAAAAATTGAGCTCATTTTATGATAAATAGTTTGTGTCATTGTTTTGCAAAGTCAGGTAACAGACATTTAGTAGTTTAAGTGTTTGCTTTACCTTGAAAACAGCTCTAATTCTTTTACAATATTTGGCAGATATTTTGAATGTTTGTCTCTCCATGTCATCCTCGAGATCCTTGAGAATCTGAGAAAACACTCTGGCTGCATGCTTGGGGTCATTGTCGAGCTACTGATTGATTTTTGGACCGATTAGGCAACTCTCTGACGTTGCTGAGTGATGAATATGAATCTAACCCTCGTAAAGTGCTTAAAATCTTTCCACATTACTGTGTACTACTTTTCCCTCTTGCAATCAAATGCCCTTCAAACAAATAAATGAATGTGTCACAGCGGTGTCACATTTTGACAGCATCCCATTAAGTGATTACCTGGTGCAATTTCACACCAGCGTGATCAATAGTCCTTTAATGGATCAGCCAAGGAACTAATAAAAAGGATTTTAATTGATTACGCTGATAGGCCGTCACTCCCACAGCCTGTTATATGTTAAAGGTGCAATCAGAGCAGAAGTTCAACGTCAGGTGACTGACACTTTGGCCTTTAAGCTGAGAGAGGATAACGAGGCTTCTGGCTCAGGATCACCTTGGCTGACTGACAGGAAGTAACTTTCCTTATTATGATAGTCCTTCATATCGTTTTCTTCTGCTGGGGTAATTTAGATTCCAGCTTCAATAGACTATTGCCTATATGTAAAAGTGTCATCAATTTTTATAATTGAGATACTCTGATTTTCCGTGCCTCTAATGAGTCAGTCTATTATAAGTAATCCTATTTGCACGCAGTAATTCTTTGAAATATTGTTTGTTGTGTTAGGATATATGTGACAGTTTTGCACTTTTAATCTCAGTATGCCTCTGCGCGTGCCACGGTCTGAGCCTGGCACAGGGCTAAAAACGGCCATGCTTTTCCACGCTTCATCATCTGTGGTTTGTGTCAGACCCAGACAGTCATCTGGAAAGGTCAAAGCATCAGTAAAAGATTTAAATCAGCCCACAGAAGAAAGATTTACCTTGACAGGCGGAACCTGAAAACTGGTAAATAAGAATGCAAACAGAGTCTTTCCTCTTAAACTAAACCAAGGAAAAACAGACCATTGCATTTCAAAGCTAGAGTCACAGGTTGTGATGCTTTGAAGTAACAAAAAAATTTTTTGAATATCTTTTTTGTCCTTGTAATTAACTATTTGCTTTCTTAATGCTATACGTTGAAACGGCTCGAAGATGAATGCGTTGATTAATGCATTTGTATAATCACTCTATGAGGAGACATGTATGGTTCGTTCTCTTTCAAATCTATTAATCGTGTTTTCATTTCTAAAACGAAGCGATCTTGGCACAGCTAATAGAAACAGCCTGTTTCTAAATGCAACTTGACAGGGTCAGTGTGAGAAAAGCAAACTGTTGGGCTTAGTTTTGGCACTGAGAGAACTTGACGTACGGGTGTTATTCTTTGATTAATCTCTGTGCTGTTCTGTTGTTCTATATTCATCCAGCTTTATAAGCTGCTAAAGGAAACATTTCCCCTTTTTTTCTTCATTTGTCATCTTATTATATTAATGTTGTAGCCACGCCTTTTGATGAATGCAAGAACCAAAGCACGTATTCAGCTTGTTTTGAGGACAAATGGGACCTTTGAAAAAAATTCTTTCTCTTTAGTGTTTATTAATATACTTAAAAAGATGAATGTGAAATAGGGGAGCTTATAGCAAGGCCTATGTATCATAATATATTAGCTCACAGAAGTAAAGAGTAATGAAACTATTTTCAGCTATAAAGCCATGCTTGAATAATATGTCTGCTGCAAAGTGCTGCAAAGCCAGAACTATTACAAGGTGGTTACTTTTTATAATCTTTTTGGAAAAGACGTCCATAAATAAATATGTGTTAGTTTTGGCTCTTTGGGTCATGAAGATAATTCTATTTATCCTTCTTCTCATTCTCCACATGTCTCCTTTGTTTGGTGTATGTGCTTTCCTGCAGTTTGGTGGCTGCTATATTATTGATTTGTACTATTGATCCAAATGTGGCAGCGATTACTGGGATTTTGTGTTTAGCTTTATCATCATGCACTAAAAAACCTCCTGCTGGGATGCCCTTGTTGCTACTTTAACACAACTGAGTCACTGCTGGCAGTTTGTATTTTTACTCACAATAAAGTTTGTTTGTCTGCGAGTCACAGACTGTGTATTGAAATCAAAGACACTTAAACCTTAGACACTAAAAGTAAGTGACAGACAAGGTCGATCTCATTTGGATAGTCATGATTAATAAGATGTGAAATCCACTGTTCCATCATGAGCTATACTGGCCATCAAGTATACATATAATACATGCATTATAATGCAGTGATTGGTATAACAGTCAAAGATGGAACTTAAAAAACATAAAATATGTGTGTAAAGAGGGATGTTTGATAAGCTTTTATTTGGATGCTAACAAAAAGTATACTGTGTATCTATGCAGTTCTGTGAAAAATGAAGTATATCCTTAATCTTCTGTAGGAATAAAGTAGGTAAATAGCAGCAATGTGCTTTGGTAGTTTGCTGGTCTGCAGCATTCAGGTGTCTGTTAACACAATCTTCCCAGGACTGGTCGTCCTAGCAGATTCATCCCAAGGTCAGGCTGTGCAGTGCATCTAAGACTCTACAGTCCCCAGATAGCATGTTAAATATTAAAGTTCATGACAGAACAATTACAAAAAAGCTGAAGAAGCATGGTTTGTTTGGCAGGGTTGTCAGGAGGAGGGTTGTCTTTTCTCTAAAAAGAGCATTGCAGTATGATGAGGAAAATGTGGAGCTGTTGGTCATAATGCACAACATCATTTCTGGCCCAACATATCAGCACAAACACATCATACCAACGGTCAAGCACAATGATGGAGGGGTGATGATTTGGGCTTATTCTGCAGCCACAGGATTTTGGACTCTTGTGGTCTTTGAGTCAGCCATGAACTCTGGACACCAACGTTTTCACACGTGAGGATAATTATCCAACAGTTAAAGCTTGGCCAGTATTCAAAGTGTCATCCAAAGCCCAGCAACAACAGAATGGCTGATAAAGAAAAGAATCAGGGTATTGTAATGGGCCAGTCAATGCCCAAACAAATTATTGAATCTTGTTTTGTACTGTAGTTTTTCCCAGGACTTCACAGAGTCCTGTGAAAATGTTCTTTTTCACTTCAGTATTTGTATTTATGCATCTTGCATTGAAGCTGGAATATGGTTTACGACACACTTCTGCATCGTCACTGCAGGGAATTCGTCAAATGTTAGTGGAAATTGCTGCTCCTGGGAATAAACAAGTGAAGCAGTCGCGGTAAATGGCAATCATACAAGTGTACAGTAGATGCCTGACAATAGTTACAGTTTAACGCAGATGGGTGCAGTCGTGCAACATTTTATTTCAGTAGATGACGTTTGAATTCCTCTGCTACAAAATTAAACGTTTGGCTTCAAAGAGGAGTTACTTTAGTCTTAATTTGTGTGATCATGCTGATTTGTTTTCTCCATCTCTCTCTCTCTCTTTGCGCAGGCCTTCCCATGTATATCCACAGGCATCTACGGTAAGCTCAGTCTCCCTTCTTTTATTTCTGTTTTTATCCATTTGCTTTGTTCTTTCAGTGCAACTCAATGATAACAAGCTGCTCATATTCCCCAGTTTGTGGCTGAATATTTTAAAATGATGCACATAGGGCGGAGGTTACTTAGATATAAATACTAAATATACCAACAAGTTCACCTTAAACCATGTTGCACAAAGGCAGGACGTAGAAGAATACTGAATACTGAATACTGCTTATGCACCCTCATGAGATCAAGTCAAATAAGCTGCAAGGCATTGCTGGCAGAGAGCTGATGTGCTCATTACACTTAAAGTCACACTGAAAAGAAACCAGACTTGTTGATATGAACAGAATTTTTGAGTTTTGAAGATAAAAAAAAGTTAAATGCAAGAAAACATGTTGATTCTTTGACTCTTTTGATCATTTAAATTGCCTGTTTTTACCCCACACCGTACACTGTACAGTTTATGAATTCGCATACAGCTCCAATACTTGCAGTAGGTGCCAAATGTGTAAGGATTAATTAACATGCTAATTTCTGTTGTTTGCAGCTGACTATTAGCAGCAATGTAGTTCCACATAAGCAGCCACAACTGCTCTGTAAAGTTATGCGTAATTGCAGATACCTACAGTATTCTGCCAATTTTAAAAAATGCCAGTGCGAGGCAACAACTGATAAATGATTCTGGGTCTATACTTCTTTAGGCGGGGATCTCATGAGAGTCGATAAGTGCCTCTGATCATTTCACAAGACGAGGTGCTGCCAATTTTACAAACACTGTTTCCTCAAGATATGTGCATGCACTGTTCGCGCTCTCAATAGGCATACAACACAGCATTTATTATGTCCACGTGCCGAGTGTAATGCGAATTCAAAAGTGACATATTGAACTCGAATCCTTTTCCACAGAAAGCAAAACTAACAAAAGTTTCAAAAGCCCTCGAAACCTTCTTCTGAAAACAGCAAAGAAAACCAGATAATTAAAATGTATGACACCAAAGGGTGGATAATTCCTTTCACATTCCTCGGTAATTCAGATCATTTTAGATGATACTTGTCTTTTGTCCAACGTCGGGGAGTTATATTTCCGGTGCTTTCTGTACTATTCTTCATGTGGTTGACCTCGCTCAGATTTATTATATACACCTATGCAGCTGTTGTTGTTCTAATAAAGCTACATAAAAGCTACCTAATTTACTAAACCTACTGCAGCTTACTTCCACAGCTGTGTCACTGTGTGAATTTAATTTAAAAGGATTTTTTTTAAACAACATCATTGGTGTAGATAAGCACAGACACATCTGAGCTATTTGAGTGTGCTATTAAGACCTGATGCTGGTTTTTTATTTAAAATGCAGACATTTGAAGCCGTATCTCAAACTGTAAGCGAAGCATCAACAGCCACTGACTGGATTTAATTAAAAGCTAGGGACTGGACTGTAGTGCGCATGTGAGTCGGTGCAACTATCCGGTCGCAGCTCATAAAGAAAATGATGAAATGTTGATAATCAGTGACAGTTGAGCACCTTATTTGTGATTTGCTGTGCATTTCAGCGGCACATGTCTCTACAGTGCTAGAGTATTTGCCATAACTTGCAAACAGAGTGCATTCAGCTGGTAAAACACACCCTGAAAATCATCTGTGCAGACGCTTGAGAGGTGCATTCAGCTGTGATTATACTCAGGCGGTTCTGACTCGTTTCCAGTTGACATGCCAGAGATTTGTGCTGCCGTTTCATGTCCTGAACAAACATGTCACATGTGATGTGAAGACACAGATCAAACCGGATGAGCTAATTTTCACGACTATGGTTGGAAACTGTTTCTGTATGAAAAATGACAGTTTGGTTATTGATTAAACCTGTTAGTTATTGATGTAGTCCTAGTCCGTTAGTGAAAGCACAGAAGCCTCTACCTTTCCATATTTCTTTGGTTTTTTTAAAGGTCTAATGAAAAACAAAGTAATTAAGTTTTAGTCTGAGTTTTGTGTTTTGATTTCCAACTGTAGACAGTATGCAAAAATAAAATGATTCATCTGCAGCCCCTGGGGAACATCAAAAAAAAGCCTCTGCCCACATGCTGGGTACCTTACATCTGTTTGTTTTTCTCTCCAACCAAAGCCATTACTCCTCTGCCTTTATCAAACCTGGACTATAACTAACTGCCAGCTGTTGCAGTCTGAAATACTACACATGCAAAGTACTGATTATAGAGCCTGATAAACTTTGGCAGTGCTCATTAAACTAGCTGAAACTGCCCGGCATAGATAAAAGATAGTCCAAGTGGCGAGCTATCCTGACACGCGCTATTGCATATGTGTGTTAATAAAGACCAGTCTTTAGTAAAGCGTGCTCATAAATCACAAGACGTTTAATTATGCTCTTGATAGAACACTTCCCATTTGGGATTTTGAATAAATTCCCCCTGTCACTTTTTTGCAGTTCACACACACACACATCTTTTCTGCGATGTTATGTTTCGTTCCACCTGCCGATGCACACATCTCACAGGGGCTTCTTCTTTTTTTAGTCCACTCTCCTTCCTCTTCCTGCAAAATATATGTTATCCGCTTAAACACGAGTGTCTGACTTCTCGTGACGTAACAAATTACATAACAAGCTGAATTCAAGAAGTATAGTGAAGTGCATCAGCTAATGGTTATATACAATGTTTTGTGTTAAAAGCAAAAATATGGAGTAGAGTAGCTGTAGTGGCACAAAGGTAGTGCAAATACATGCAGGGGAGAGAGTGGGGTGGGGGTCATTGTTTGTACTGCGCGCCGCTGACGAGGGCACCACTTATTGCCATTCACTGTGCTACTGTGTGCTGCACTGCCAGTGGGAGCCTGTCATACCACACCACCAGGAGCCCCCTCGCATCAAAAGGATGGTCTGTGCAGAGCCAAGCATGCAGTGGAGTGGGAGGGGGGGATTAAACAGCCTGTTTAATAAATAAACAGCTTAGCGCTTCCATAACTAGATCTCCACAGAACAACAGCTGATTAAGACTAAAGATCTTCACACAGCAGAGGGCAAATAGAGGAGGGACTTTCAAAGGAAGTACAGTATAGATAGCACAGAGCTGTGTTGTTGTTCTCCGAGTCCTCTGCGTGCCCCCTGAGTACTGCCATATTCTGAAAGGGCCTCTGCTCTCTTGTCAGGAGTTCTGACATTTTCTGTGCATTTTAGATAACCTTTAAGGTCAGCTTCCATTTTAGCAATATAAACAAAAGCTCTTTAGCGTGGAAGTCACATCTCCCCGATCCCGATGTTTGCCTGTGATTTTTTTCTAAAAAAAGAAATCTCTTTCTGTCTCTGTTGAATGTGCATCATTTTGAGTATGCGTTCACGGTCATGCAGGTACTATGCTTATGTACACGTGCTTGACCTATTTCTGCACTTGAACTGGAGCAAGAAAACAAATTCTGTGCCCCAAACATCGTGACACAGAGGAATCAGGAACAAGTTATCCAAGGCCATTGTGGTGAGACAAACAGATTTGTCAGGGAAAGTTAATGCTAATTGACACCCTCTCTCACGCCTCCATATTCCCGAAGACTCAGTCACCACTGACAGATGATGGCAGAACAGGGAGGTTGGGTGTAGTAGAGGTGTGCAGGGGGTACCTCAGACGCTTGGAAAGAAAAATGAGAGATCACACTGCGCTGACAGTCCAATCCCTCAGTCCGGCCCATTAGCCACAACAGAATTTCTGCACCGATAGTGTGTCGGAGGTACCACCCATAAACAAACTGGTGCCCACCGTGGGCCACGAGGTCACCCAGCATGATAGAGGTTATTAAGTGCTGCTTCTGTTTGCACATCAATCACAGCCGTGCGACCTGGGTTTAAATGGATTATTCCTTCCACGGAGGAGACACCTCTCAACGTCTCACAGGATCAGTGCCAAGAGTCCAACTACCTCGACTTAGAGAGGTCATTTTCTCTTTTGCAATCCTTTTGTTTTCTGTCCTTCCTCCTATGCATCCTCTTGTCTCTAGTTCTCCCTGACAAGTCTGTCTTATTAGCCATACAAGGAAAATCATATGAAAAAACAACTATTTTCAGATGCATTTTAGACTTTTGCACCTTGTGCAGATCAGGTCTTAGGCAGTGCTGAAAAAGCACTTTTCAACAACCCCATAATGAGGCATGCAGTTTATAAGCAAGGACACGTATATTACTTCTGCTGTTTGCTGGATAAGAAGCCATTGCACGCATGTATTTATAACGCTATCAAAAGAATCAGAGGCCCTTGATGTGGCAAAGCTGCTTCTCTTCTTTGGACAAATATCTTCCTGTTTACTGCTAACCCCTCACCTCTGGCTCATCTGTCTCTGTAACTGATCCGAGATTTGTTGACAAAGGACTTTTAGCACTGACTGGTGGCTGTGGGAGATATGTGGATGTAATCCACCAAAGCTCTACTGGTATGTCCACACTGCCATCCCGCCGTACCGTCCAGATCAAAGGTGTCAAGCAGCTAAGATTTTTTTTCTCTAACCAGCATCATGGTCTGGCTCTCTTTATCCCTGTCTAGGATTAGGAGGGCTGGAGACATTCATGCACCTTATCTTTAAACAGTGATTGCTTGCTGCTAGCTTGCCAGAAATGGCCCAGGCAGGTTCCCCCTTCTCTCAAAATACATGAAGCCTAATCTAGCTGGGTTTTTGGTATTTCAAGGCACATACAGTAGCAGCAATATGTTGTATCAGTGGGCAGCAGAGTGTGTGCTCAAAGAAAGCAAGATCTCCGTGGCCCAATGTGCATTTGTTCTCAGCACTTTTCACAGATGATAAGCCAAATGTAAAAACACCTCCCACCCACAGGACAATAGATTTAAGGGTTTGTGAAACTTGTTCGAGCATTAAACTTTTTCATTCCACAAACTTCTCAGAATGTTTTTACAAAGTAAAACGTCGGGTGTTAAATTTAGCATGTAGGACAAAGCATGCTATCACCTACATGGATTATTTCCAAGGAAGGTCATCAGCTGTTGT